ATTTATTTAAATAATGTATATGGCAGCCCATCTCACAAGAGTGACTCTGAGCAACGTACAAAGATTAAAACTCAACAGTTTAAGCAAGTGCATGACACCTCCCAACCATAAAAACACATCATCATCAACAACAGGGCTAGCCTGGCCCAAACACTGGGAAAACAACCATTCTTCAGAGCTTGCAAAGGTCAATAGGATCGGGGCCATCTGGATCTCTGGGGGAGGCAGACACTGCCAGAGATATATACGCGGGAACAGATTATTTTCCTTCTGTTCTGCCCAATGGAACATCAGTACTTGGTCCATCAGCAGGACAACTCTCCAAAAACTTAACAGAATGGGACCAAATTTGGTGGGGTGGGAAGGAGAAACTGGCTAAAGACTGAAATTGAAAATGACCGGATCAGGAGGAACCCCCCACCCCAATCCCTCAAGAAATCCCTGTGGGGAGGCAGTTGAACAACGGCTTAGAAAGTTGATGACTTCTCCATTCTAAACTGCCCTCCTGTCTCCCCCTTGCTTATATTACCAGAGCAGAGTTCTTATTAAGAGATTAGAAAGAATTCCAGAAGCCAAACTCAACATGCTTTCCTTAGGTTGGGTTTTTGTTTTTTTTGGATGGAACTAATAAAACATCTATTCTCTCTTGTGCCTTGGGATTTTCTATATATTTTTTAATAATGACTGTTTTTATATGTTTATTGTTTTATCAATTGTTGTATGCCACCCAGAGTCACTTTCTGTGAGATGGGTGGCCATACAAATTTGATAAATCAATTTGATAAATCAATCAATCAATCAATCATCTGGACAAAAACTAAAAAGGCAGCAGGTAAAAAGGAAGACAAACACAGAAAAACAAATACAAAGAAAACAAATGAGATAATATTCTTACTTGGATAGGTCATGTTACGGAATAATAAAAACATATTAAACATCCTTGTTCACTCCTTCTACCCAGAATGACAATTGTACAGACCACAGCAATCTATTAGGAACCCTACTGGGAAAAACTTCATTAATTTAGCTGGGAAATGGTGAGCAAATCCTGAGAATGTTGAAATTCTAGCTACAGTCTAGTTCTTCTAGAATCTAGCTATATTCTAGCTCTTCTAGAACTCTAATTATATCAGTGAAGTTTCTTGAAGACTACCCTAAATTGTAAGGTTTTTTTCAGAGGTCTTTGCTGTTTGTTAAATCTTTGGTCAAAGCAATTTCCCAGAGTTATAAATACCATGGATCTTTAAAGGGAATTGTAGTTTAATTTTCTAGCGTTTTGCAATAAAAGCCATTTTTGAGGGCATTTCCCTTGCTATACTTATCCTAAAGCAACATCACTCCTTGTACATGTTTTAAGATCACCAGGCTCCGATTTCTCAGCCAGAGTTCCCAGAGTTCCACATGAGAACTTCCAGATGTTCCAGTGAAAACTCCCAGAATTGTGAGAATTACCCCCTCAATGCATCTAGAAGGCACCAGGTCACAGAAGATTCCACTTTGGGCCCCTCTGTGCAAAAGCCATCGCTCCGCTCATATTCTGCCTCTGTGATCTAACAATCAGAAATGCATGTCGCAACATCTGGATTGCTCTGGGATTGGCAGGGAGAGGCAGATTCAGGGCACCTTTTCTGTTACAACAGCTGGCTGGAGGGATTCTAACAGCCCCCCCTCGGGGTCCCCCAAAGCAGTTGCAAAGACACAAACACACATGGCGAGAAGAATCAACAGGGAATGCCATCCGCAGATACGAGCAATAGCCGCATGGCCCAACACATTCATTAAGCCAAACACCCGTATGTTGTTACTTATTAATGAGAATGCATGTTACACCGTTCTTTCAAAACCAAAACTGAGATCATCTCTAGCAATGCCAGAAAAAAATATATTCAGTTGAAGGAGTCAAGTGGGCTTTAGAAAGGAGTGGCAAAAAGCTTTGGGTCCACTGGTAGATTTCTGAAAGGGGATCCAAATAACATCCTATTGCTTGAATGGAGTTAACTTACATGCCAAGGAACTCAGCATGACTTTAATTTCCATTATGATTTAAATGGACATTGAACAGAAGAGTACCAGGAGACTAGTAGCCAGTTATTGTGGGAGGGCAAATATCCCGTCTAAATACAAGATGGATCAACCCTACACACATAGATGCATGGACATAAACCATGCAACCACAATAAATCAGTCAATTAACACCATCCAGACACAACAGTTTCTGTATCAGCCTGGCCTTAAGGACTCACTAACCTTGGACTTTGGACAGCTGCAAACCTGGAATGGAATAATCAAAGCTTCTGACTTTTTTTTTGAAGACCAGTAGGAAGGACACCCTCTACAGACTAACCCGGTGCGTCATATCTGAAGAAACATATGCACTGTTGGGTCCTCTAGATGTTCTGGATTACAACTGCCATCAACCTCAGCATAGCTGATGGCAAGGGATTATGGAATCTGTAGTCCAAGCAACTGGAGCAGATGGAAGATCAGCTATGTTGTATGGTAGCTTCTCTCAATCTGGTGCCCTCCAGATAGTCTGGACTATAAATCCCATTCCAGCATTTTCAGCCAACCTGAGCAGTAGTATTCTGAGAATTTCAATCATGATTGTGCCTCTCAGTTGTGCTGATAAAAAAACTCTCAGTAGTCCATTGGCAAAGCAGGCTGGGAATGCTGGGATTTATAGTCCAGAATAAGACAGTAGGAGGTTGCCATGTCGGAAGTGGTCTTTTCTAATGGTACTGGGTTCAAGTTAAGCACAGTTTTGTAAGACAAACAGGATTCAGCCATAATAACCCAGCAGCCTAAGAAAGCAGTAACATTAAAAGATCTGTCATCTAAATCTCTCTCTTAACAGAAAATTACATCATCATCCCCCATAATCCTTATTGCAATATTTTATTTTGGTTATTTTGGAAATGCAGGCAACTGTTTTGCCACATACTGATCAAACTTTGATAGTGCCAAAATGGACCATACAAAAGTATTTTCTTAGGGTCATTTCCTCTAACCTGAAATTGGGTAATCATTCCCCAAATGATTATTCTACAAATATCTACAACTCAGATGTGAGGTACACCAGTTAACACAGAAACCAGATACTAAACACTGAACAATGACAGTAAGGTTGGCTCCCACATTCATGGCCTTCCGAAAAAAGTTGGTTAAATCCTGGTTACTTCAGAAGGTCTTCAGAGATTACCAGTTATGGTTTCATTGACCCTGATAGATGAACGCTTCAGTGTCTATGGACAATCTTCCACTGCTTTAGTTATATTGTATTTTATGATATTTGCACGGCTGTTGTATCATTTTTGCCCTAGGACCCCAGCTACAGTCCTCTTAAACTGAAAGATCTATAACATTTATAAATAAATAAATTCACTTTCTCATCCTGTTATTTTGACAAGTCATCTATGCGCAAAACATTCCTCCCTTTATCTAGCCGTCCAGGACATTAAGATATATTAAAAATCTCAATAATGCAAGACAATTTCCAAAACACAGTGCACATTACCAAGATGTTAGCTTTTGGGAGACAAACAGGAATTGCAATATTATAGACCTGTCCATTAACAGTTACAGTTTTGATATTTTATTACTATGGGACTTCCCCACGCCACAGGGATAGTACTTCAAAGAACCGTAAGAGCCAATTTAGACAGATTGAATTTCACATTGATTATGAAGAGCTTTCAACTCTCTCCTTCAGAAACACTGGGCTAAGAAAGCAACCTTAGATATTCATTAATGAGTGCTGGAATTTCAAATGTCTGTAGTTGCATTCATTCTAGCAGAGTCTTGTTTAAGGGGAAGGTAGGAACACACGGAGGAGGCTGAATTCTAAAGTACAGTTCAAAATTTGAAATGATCAGAGAATTGAAGACCTTTCCATTTGAGACAGTCAAACTAAACTGCTCAAGAAATAATCCCAGAAGTTATTTCAATATTTGAGGTTTCTCCAAACGTTGTTATTTATTGGACCATTGACTTCAATGGACAAACAGCAAAGGAGAAAAAGAAAAGGGATGATGAGAAAAAGGGTCTAATAAACATTCCCCCCTCAGTGGCTGTTGGTCCATCATGTCTTCAGTAGTTAACCTCTGCTCAGCTTCTAGCAAAATAAATTAGAAATACTATTTACACTTAGGACAAAAGAGAAAAAAGAAAAATGCAATCTGTTAAACATGAATGGGAAGGAAGGAAAGAAGGAAGGAAGGAAGGAAATGAAGGAAGGAAAATAAAGCTGAACAAATCTCAGTCCATTTAAATGAAAAACAGAATGTCTCTTTCTTCCCCATTTCCATTGGGAGAAAATGCCTTCTTTAATTATATACGCATAACATTGGATAGATTTTACTCACTGCAATCCATTTTCACAAGACCAAGCATTTAACCAGACATACAGTCAGTTAATTTCTTTGGTTTGTGAATGATCAGTCCTCCCTTTCTCTAGCACTCTGTCTCTTTTTTCCCTGTCTGCCTGTAATAAAACAGAGTTTCTGTCCCTAATGCAATTGTTAAAAATGACTCGTTGCAAAGAATTTCAAGATGATCACTTATTTAAAGCTTTTATTTTTTTTAAAAAAATGCAATAAAAATGACGCCGAGAGTAAGAGTTTCTGAGAAATGAAGCTTGTTTGTGAAAATGTCCCACTGGACATTCATTAATTGCCCTCCTGATAATATCCTATGTGTATATTTAGCTGGTGACAATATCGCCTAAGGGGAGATGCACTTTTGGATGACAAAAATTCGAGCCTGCAAGTTTGAAACGATGAATGACCCCACAATTGGCAAAGAGGAGACATGCAGGTATAACTAGGAGAAGGTCTCCAAAACTGAGGGATCTTTGAACAAACTCATCCAGGAATATATGGCTAGAAACAAAGACTTGCTTTAGGGATGCTGCAACACGTAGGTTGAAGCTTCATATAAAGAGGATTTAAGCCCTTCTCAGTGAGTTAATATCAAATCCTGTTTCCTAATAAATAGCTGTATATAACAGGAGATGCATATATTATACACCACAGCGTACGCATAACTGTATACAGAGCTATCGCTAATATATGGCAGACCTATAATGTTTAGAGGTCAGACTAGGATGAAGAGATTCCCTTCCTCTTTTGACCATGAAATTATGGGGTGACCGCAATCCATCACCACCTCTTAATTTAATGTCCCCCTTCACAAGGTTATTGTGAAGACCCAATGGAATGAGATGAGAAACATGTACTATGCCCCGAACTCCTGCAGGAAAGGAAAGATGTACAACTCTCTGTGGCTGCTATACATCACTGCTAAGTTATTGCATTAATAAATCAGAGTCAGTCATAATTCTAGAAAAAGAGCCATGCTGGGTTGCACAATGTAGCACAAACTTCCCTGTTTGCTAGCTGTGTGTGTGTGTGTGTGTGTGTGTGTCAAAGGCACCTTCTGCTATCGCCCCACCCAGCGAACAGCCATTCAGAAACAGATTCCCCCCAAACACCAAGGTC